CCTTGCCCTCACCCTTTAGAAGAGAAAGTAAGGGCACAGAAAACTTAATTATCTGCCCACAGTTTCAAAGAAGGTAAAGAGGGGGAAGCTGGGTGTGCACTGGGGAGTGTCTGGGCTGTGGATCTTGTCAAGATAATCACTTTTCTAACCGGAAGTCCCAGCCTGGTCCCAGAGTCCCCGCTGCAGAGTCCTGACTCAGTTGAAATTTTCTCACCGCCTGCAGAGCCAGCTCCACTTTTGGGGCTTGCTGTGTGCATGGATACCATGAAACCCAAAGGAGCTGAGCCTCCATAACACCTTTAACAACAAGGGGAAAGAGGACGGGACCTTCTAGGCGTCTCCTGCCACTGGGAAGGGACCAGAGGAGCAGGAGCCTGGCTGCAGGGTACCCATGCCAGGGGGCCCTCTCTTCTTTGCCAGTCCTGTGCGCGCTCTAGAGGGACCCACGGACCGACACCCTCGTCCCCCTCACCCCTGGTTGCCATGCTCCGAAGGCCCCAGCCTCTGTGCGGGTCCCCAGGACTGCGGCACCGGCAGCTGTGCCTGCGTGGGCCTGACCTTGCTAGACTGCCCAGCTCCCGCCGAGCCTTGAAGGTGAAGGCGGGCGGTATAACTCCGTGCCTTGCTCCGTGGCTCCAGCCTCTCTATTTACTAACGTGGGGAAGAAGGTGCAAAAAGATGCCCCATATGGAACCCCTGGGCGTCGCTCTGGCAAGCATCCCCACAACGTCTTCAAGTCAAAGGTGGGCACTACTGGCTGGCGAACTGAAAGAGGAATAGGAGGATGGGGAGACGGCGCGACGCTCGCCTGCGGAGCCTGGCTGCAGAGGCCGCGGAGGCTAGGCGCCGGGCGTCCCTTTCGTCCTGTAGAGGGAGCTCCAGCCCCAAATTTCCCGGTTCCCTCCCCTAGGCCGCCTACCCCCCCCCCCCCCATCTAGTCCGAATCCCGGCTGCAAAGGTGCAGCCGGACATCGCGAACCCCGGAGCAGAGACCTCAAGAGCTGTCCCTTCTAGGGCAGACGGGCACGCAAGGGAGAGCGCACCTGGGGCCGCCACCTCTCCACGACAGCAGGCACGCGCCTCTCGTCGGGAAGGATGGGTACCCCAGGCTCCTTTCGGCCCGCACCGCCCCCCCCCCATACCGCCACCCTGCAGCCATGCATCTGGGTGCAGCGTGGGTCGAAGGGGCCTGGAAGCTGGGCCTGCACAGCCCCTTCCACATAAGGGGTAGACCTCAACTGTGCGCATCATAGAATAGGAGCGGAACCTCCCAAGCACCAGACGCTTTCCTGTGTTTCTGTGGCATCGCTAGAGAAGGCCCAAGGCCTCACAGTGGCACCCTCGGATTGGCGAGTGGGACCCAGTCTTCCGGTTCCTAGCAGGGAATCTATCTCCGCCTCATTTCTGAGACACCTGAAACTGTTCCCACCGTTTCACCCCAGAGGCGCTCCCAGTCCTGCCACTTCTGTGCCTCCTCCGCCATTGCTGTCCCCCTGATCACAGGATCGTCGGCTCTCATTCGTCCTGTCTTTTCGTATTGGCTTGGGAAATTCTTCAACTCAGAAGGGAAAACAACAACAGAAACCAAAACTATCGCCAAAAGAACCACCAAACAGGCGTCCCGGGGAAGACAGGCCGGTTGTGTAGTCAAAGTGGCAACAGCTCATTTATTTAGCCAAAAATAGATACTTTCTTGTACAATTTGGTTCACACATATGTACATTTATCTGTATATACAAAAATGTCAGATAGGCTTATTCTCACGGAACCCTCCCCATCCCCATCAACCAAACACACCTCACAATCGCAGCCAAGGTGGGGTGGCACAGAAGCGACTTGGGGAGGTCTGAGGGGGGCTGGTTTTATTTCTTTAAGTTCTCTTTTTGGGTTATTCATACATGGACATGCTTACACGTCGTTAACTATACAGAGGGATTTTTTGCTTTGCTTTTTTGTTTGTTTTACAATTATTACAACGATTTAAAAATTGTTTTTTAAAAAAACAAACTAGGATGAGGAGAGAGCCGATAAGACCAGAGCGGCATCCAGGTGGTTCTGGGCCCTGGAAGAGAGAGACAGTGGTAGCACAGAAGGTGAGATTTAGGGAGGCCAAGGCCACCTAGGGCCGGGAGACCATTCCTGGGACTGGGGCCAGGGGCAGGGAAGCTCCTCTCAAAGCAAAACAGTGTTCAGGTGTGGATATTCGCGTTGACGGTTAACCACAGGATGGGCAGTAGAGGTCAGGACCCAAGGTCCAGGACTGGAAGGCGGTGGGCGTCACAGAGCTGCCACTTGCTTCAGGGCCTGTTGGCCCCGTCAGGCTTGGGAGAGCAATTAGTTTCTGGATCCAAGACGTGATGGAGTGAGTTTTCTCTCCCTTTTAAAAATGCTTCCCATCTATGTTCCCCCTTGGGGCAAAACACCACGGGTCTGGCTTCGCGTTCTTAAACTGCTCCCTTCTGCCCGATCTCCCCGTCTCCTCCCCAGGTTCAGGGTGGCTTACCGCCTGGGCACGGGCTGGAAAGCTGTCTTGAGTAACTTTTTCTCCACTTCCAAGGCACTACAGCGATCTGGAGGAAGCGAAGGAAAGAAACAGAGGGGCCCTTAGAAAGCTTGGCTCAGGCGCGGGTTGCAGAAGCTAAGAGGAAAACACCCGGTTCATCCCCCCAAACCCAAGCGCGACCCCCGACCTCCTCCCTCTGCGCCCTGCGCACTGCAATCACCTGTTCCGCCCTCGGGCTCGGAGGGTCGAGCGTAGGCGGCTGCTGCCGGGTGGCCCGCAGCTCCGGGAAGTCCCAGCAGGTGCTGAGGGGCGGAACCGAGCAGGGAGAGCGGGTGCGGGCGCGGGCCGGGCGGCGGACCTGGGAACGGGCGGTTGGTCCAAGCGGGGAATTTGCCCAGCGGCGCCGAGACGAGTCTGTGAGCTGCGGCGGCGGCGGCGGCCGGAGAGAGCTGCAGAGCTGGGGGCGCGACGGCCGCCCCGGGAGGAGAGCCCCTTGCGCCAGGAGGCGAGCGACGCGGGTTGTCCGGGCTCGTGGCCGTCTCGGCCAGGGACCAGATTTTGGGTTTCTGCAGGGTGGAGGAAGGAGCTGGTGCTGGAACGCAGGGGTCCAAGCCAGAGGGAGGCGAGGGCGGAGACGGCGGAGCCGCGGCTACCGGCGGTGGCGCAGGGGCCAGACTCAGGACGGGCAGCGGCCGCTCTTCCAAGCCCTCGGAGCTGTCTTCGGAGTCGCTATTTTTGGAGTCCGAAACGGGTCCTAAGCCGAGGTCGCCGTCCCTCCGTGCCGCCCCAGACAAGGCCATCTCAGGCCCAGCAGTCGTGCCATCTAAATTTTCCAAATCGATCTCCTCGTCCTCGTCGTCGTCTGCTAGGCCCTCGCCCCCCGTGTCCTCCTCCTCCCCCGCGAGCTCCTCCTCCAGCTCCAGCTCGCGTTTGCCGTCCTCCTCGTCCTCCTCTTCGTCCTCCTCCTCCCGCTCGCTCCCATAAGCATTGCCCTCCTCGTCGGTGCGGCTGCGGGGCGCCCACGTCATCTTGTTCTCCTTCTTGAGGCGCCGGCGCGCGTTGGCGAACCAGGTGGACACCTGGGTGAGGGTCATCTTGGTGATGATGGCCAGCATGATCTTCTCGCCTTTGGTGGGGTAGGGGTTCTTGCGGTGCTCGTTGAGCCAGGCCTTGAGCGTGCTGGTGCTCTCGCGGGTGGCGTTCTTGGGACGGGACGGGTCCCCGAACTGGTACTGGCCATAGGGGTAGAAGGCTGGGTGCGGGTGCGAAAACGCGGTGGCCGCGGCCGGATGCTGCACCCCGGGACTGTCTTTCAGCTCATACTGCGCGCCCTGTACGCACATGGGAAAGGAAGGGGACACGCGTGGAGGGAGCGCGGGTGAGCTTCAGCCGTCGCTGCCTCCACCCTCTTGGCCCGGACCCTCAGAGTCTCCTCCCGCGCGCTCACCTCGCCCAGCGCCCCGGCTCCAAACCCTCCTTCCCGAATTGCTCCTGCTCTTACCAGCTGCGGGAAGATGGGCAGCTCCGCGGCGTAGGGCAGGAAGGCGCCGTAGCCCTGGGCAGCAGCCGCCGCCGCCGCGGCCGCGGCGTAGGGCGCCCCGTACACGGACGAGAGCACGTTGGATAAGGACCCGGAGGCCGCCAGCTCCGAGGCTCCGGCTCCCGGGCCGCCTCGGGCCCCCGCGCTGCCGCCCCCGCCTGCGGGGCGCTCGGGCGGGTAGAGCGGGCGGATGTACTGGTATCCGAGCTGGGGGAAGGACATGGTGGCCCGCGGGGCACCGACGGAGAGGGGGCCCGGACCCCGGGGCCGCCCTACTCAGCGCCGCCCGCGGGCTCCGGCGCGCATCGGGGGCTGGGCCGAGCTGGGGCCGCGCTGCCTGCTGCGCGGCGCTGCTCTCCGCGTTCGCCTATTGATCTGCTCCGCGGCGGCGGCGGCGGCGGCGGCGGCGGCGGCGAGGAGCCAGGTCAGGTCCGAACAGATTGGCGGAGATTCCCCGGGCTCCGGGCTCTGATTGACATTTCCACGGGCCGAAGCCCCTCCTCTCGGCGCCGCGCTCCCTCCTCTCCGCAGCCGGACGGCCTGCGCCCGCGCCGCGCTCCGCACTGCCCTCCTCGCCCAGCACTGTCGCGCCTCGCTTCCTCTCGCCCTCCTCTACTTTTCACGCCCCCTCCTCTCCCTTCCTCTCCCCTCCCCTCGCCGCGTCCCTCTGGCCCCCCAGGATGGCTTCCGCTCCTCGGGCGCTGTCCCCGTCCTGGACACTAGGAAACTCTCCTTTTTTCCTTCTTTCTCACTATTGCCTTTTGTCCTCTTTTTTGTTCTCTTCACTTTTTCTTCTCTCACGCCTCTTTTCAGTCCCTCTTTTTACTCACAATACTTTCTTCCTCCTTCCACCTTCCTGCCCTCTGTGCCCTGGGCTTGGGCGGCCTAAAGTTGTGGACACTTAGGGCGCTGCGCGGGGGGTGTGTGTCCCGGTCTGTTTGTCCGTCCCCGCCCTTCCACCCCTCCCTCGCCCTTCCCTAAATCTCAGGTCTGACGTCGCGCCCTCTTATTCGACTTTTCCTCGCGTCTCCTCCCGGAGTCGCCAATCGCCGGGGCGCCTTCCCGGCGAGGCCGCCCACCCCCGCGGATAACGCGCGCCGGGCGGGGCGCGGCGGGGCGGGGGCCGGGCGCAGCGAGTCCCTGCCCGCCTCCTCCTGCCCGCGCCCGGAGGGGGGAGGAGAGGCGCGGGCACGCTGTTTAGGACTGGGTCAGCTCGCCCCTCCCTGCTTCCCGCTCCTCTGAGCCTCTGCTCTGGCCTCGGCGACAGGCCGGGATCGGCCCGGACCTCGGGCTATGGCAGGCTCGGGGCTCCTCTGCGTCTCGGAGCCCTTTTCCCTTCGCACCTCGCGACCACGGGCCACTCTCTGTGACTAAAGGACGGAGCTGGAAGAGTGAACAGGGGTGAGGGAGTGTGTCCCGAATGGCCTTTTAAAAGGCCATTTCACTGCCCAGAACGTGGGGTGACAGTGTCCTGCCCTGGAGAGCCTAACTGGGCAGTTTACCATATGTGACGCCTCCCCTGTGTCCGGGAGCGATGCCTGTATTAGAAAAGGGGATCTCAGCTTGGGGACCAAAGGGTGAAGGCTCCGGAGGTCTTGGGGAGCAGGGAAGAGTTAGTAAACACTGTGAGCTTGCAATGAGGGAGAGCAGGGAGCAGCAGGGAGCGGGACGGCGGAGGCCCGAGTAACTTTCCGAGAGCGCAGGGAGAAGTTTCCATAGTGGCCTTTCCTCTGCTGCGCTCTTTTCTCTCGCAACCTCTTTCTCTGCTCCCAGTTTCTGGTGCTAACCCGTTTTACTTCTGCAAGGATCCTCCCACTGCCAGGGGAGGGGGGCATGGAAGCAAGACTTTTGGTTTTATGCTAGAAAATTTTCTAAATCGTACTTGAAGTTATTAGTATCTAAGCGCCCACCTTCGCGGATTACAGCGTGCTGTTGAGAGCGGCATTGAAATCCCCGGGAATTGCTGTGGATCAGGGCCAAGCGCTTTTAGGCCGGCTTGAGGACCCACGCGCGGACCTGGCCTGTGTCAGGCCTGCTCTGGGGACAGATCCGGGGCGGCGACTCTTCCGTAGAGTGACCTGCTCCAGCTCAGAGGCGGAAACCGGGCACCCAGCACTGATTGATGGAGGAATTGAATCTGAATTCCACCAGAGTGGAGAAATCCAAGGGTCCTGGCCCCGGCTGTCTGATCACAGCTGCTGGGGGGGAGCACAGTTCGGGCGTAAAAAAAAAAGTTTCTTCCGCTCCTACCTTGAACACTCAGTTTTAATCGAACCCCCTTCTTGCCACTTTCTCCTCTCTGATCTGTGGCTCCAGCAGATTTGAACTGGAGAAAACTAAGGGTGTGTGTATGTCAAAGCAAGTTTGGAAACGACCAGGTTTAGGGTCGGGGGGGAAAGGAATCTCCCCAAATTGTGTCTGAGCTGATTTGCTCTCCTCTGTACACTTGCCTCCACCTGACGCTGGGCATTGGCTTTAGGCGAACCCAGCTATAGGAGGCGACTTCAGGGGCAGCTCTGGCCTTGAAATGTGTCCCCAGAGCTTGATTTCGTTTCTAGGCAAACCTCTCAGAACATGACCTAGAGAATCTTAGGCTCATCTTGGAATAATCTGAATTGAAAAATTCTAGGTGACATTACTTCCCAGGATGTTTTTCTAGGCGTGTCCCTTAAGCTTCGACAGCCCTGCAGTCCTAAAATTTGTACAAAATGGTAGCACCAGACGAGGGGTGGGGGGGATGAGAGCCAGATTATAGGATGGGAGGACAGAGGCTTCGCTGCTGTAAATACTTGGGTAAAACTGAAAAGATTCAGTTCTTCCAGAAGGAGAAGGGGGTGGGAAGCAAAGAAAAGAGAAGGAAAGAAAAAAAAAACAAAACAGAAAACAAATCACGAGTCAACGAGATGCTCCTTCTGCATTAACCAGTTTATCGACCTGGCTGCGGAGGATTACAGGAGGCGGGAAAGAGACTGGAAAAGGGCTGAGCTGCACTCAGGAACCAGTCAAGCCAGCTGGGGGCCGCCCCTGGCTCGGAGTGTAAACCTCCAGACCCAGGCTCGAACTCTCGAACCTCACTTGATTAGATCCCTCCAGGCTCCCTAGGCCCCAAGCAGAAGCACTCTCCCCTAACCTAACCTCCCGCTGGGAACGGCCTCCGCCTGGTCCCGAGATCCAAACCCCAAGTCTGGACTCGGCGTCCGGGGGAGCCAAGCCCCGATGTGGTGCTAGTCCCCCAACAGGACCCAGCCAGGAGAACCCGACTCTGAACTGAACTCCCGGGCCCGCCAGCAGCCGCACCATTTCCATGGAGTTTTAATCCGAAAGATTAGGTCAAAGTGACCGGCTCTTCCAGCGTGGTAAAACAGGTGCACTGGAAGTTGGTTTGGGGAAGGCTTGCGCGCCCCAACGCGTTGCACGCAGCTATTCTTAGCGTTTCCCCTTCCAACATTCCCAGCGCACAAAGCACCTTGGAGACTCGCTGTGGACGCTCTCTGAACGCGGCCAGGGCTCAGGGAGCGTGCACAAACGCTGTCCGCCGAACACGCGTGGCGCACACAGAGCGCGCTCAACGCGCACAAGGAGCCGCCACCCGACGTGTTCTCAGGGCCCAAGGCCCGACAGGTTCAGGAGGCGCATGGCGCGCTGCACGCAAACCCGGAGCCCGCAGGCCCCCTTTCGATCCTTTTGCCCAGCCCTGCGGAGTGCACGTCCCTGCTGGGAGTTGGGGTGGAGAGCCGCTGAAGCTCTCCTTCTCCTAGCCAGGCCCACCTTGGATCCTTTCCTCCGAGGCCCCGCGTCCCCGGCGGCGGTGCAGGTTAGCTATCCCTTGGCTTCCTGCAGGCGCTGAGGCGCGCTCCCCCCTCCCCCCGCTCGGGTTACAGGTTAATGAAATGCTCGTTTTCCTCAGTCATTTGTTTTGTTTTCCTGCAAAGTTCTGATAAGTAGCTAACCAACGAAGCTTGTAATTACAATCTTACAGAAACCGGGCCGATCTGTATATAAATCTCACCATCCAATTACAAGATGTAATAATTTTGCACTCAAGCTGGTAATGAGGTCTAATACTCGTGCATGCGATAATCCCCCCTGGATGCTGGCTTGATCAGATGTTGGCTTTGTAATTAGACGGGCAGAAAATCATTATTTCATGTTCAAATAGAAAATGAGGTTGGTGGGAAGTTAATTTCTCTCCGCTCTGTGAAGCGTAGACAAGAATTTAATGATTTAATTACAGTTGTAAGCCCTTTCCATGAGACTTAAATTGAGCTGAGAATATTTTTTCCTCCTCTCGCTTTCTCTCTCCCTCTTTCTCCCTTTCTCGATCTGTCTCTCCGCTATTAGCAGCGGCGCGGGCTCCCATTTGCGTGGCCTCGCAGACGCCCAGGGAGGGATTCAGACTTGGCCGGGAATCCAGACTCGCAGCATCCTACGAGGCGCGGGCCAGGGGCCGGCCGAGCCCCCGGGAACGCGCCGCTGCTTCAAGCCAGACGCCAGGTCTTGGGAGACCTCCCCTGGGTCCGGACAAGTGACGGGAAACTTTGGGGTAAACTTTGGCAACTTCGTGTTCTGCGCGGAAGAGGCCGGCAGCCCAAGTGGTTGCTAGGACCGCGGACCAGGAGGCCCAGGGAGGGATCCGAGCCAGGCCTGTGCACCGGGCAGCGGCAGGGCGCCCCGCGAGACACCGGCCGCTCCCCTGCTCTGTCCCCGCGACTCCCGCGCCAGGCTCGCTACCCGGGGTCTCGGAGCGCGCGCAGCGCCCGGAACAATGGCCTGGATGGAAAATCCAGACCCTTAGCGCGCAGGATTTCATCCTTTACCCCTTCCCACCTGCCGAGCAGTTTCGCTGCCTTGGCTTCCTTTGTTACTCTCTGTCCATCTGCCTGTCCCTCGCGCTTTCCGTAAATTCGGTTTCTACTTCATTCATTTTTCCGTCCTCTGCTCCCTAATTCTGTTTTATACTTTTTCTCAGGACTATTATTTAGCTCATTTTTATCAGTTCTGCTCCGTCCTTCTCTTATTTTATGTCCTTTTATCCCTCTCCCACTTTTATATAGTGTCCCTTCCCCTTCACCTGCAACTGTCTCTGCCTCTGTCTCTGTCTTTGTCTCTGTCTGTGTCTCTGTCTGTGTCTGTCTCTGTCTCTGTCTCTCTCTGTCTCTGTCTCTGTCTGTCTCTGTCTGTCTCTCTCGTCCCAACCCTTTCCTAGTTCCTTCCTGGATTCCTTGGTGTCTCTCAGGCTTTCCTCTTCTTCCCCTTTCCATGGTCTGCCCCGCACCCCTTGGATCGGCCTCCCTGAGCCCTCCCCCCACCTTGTCCGTCTTGGGAGATAAATACGTCGCCTTATTGGATGCCTAGGCTAGAGCTGGGTGATGGGGCACGGTCAGCGTCGCGCATTTTCTTCATGCATATTGAGGATATGGTAATGAGCGCGTTTGCATTGTTGCATGGAAATGCTGCGTTTCCTGCAGCAGTTTGGAGCGGGGGAGGGTGGTAAGGGCCCAGGACAACCTGAAGTGGGCGCAGGGTCCAGCAGCCACCTCTCAAGGGACGCACAGATTCTAGACCTCTGGGGAGGAAATGACCTCGCCTAGGGCAGGACCGGGCCTCTGCCTTCCCCGCTTCTCCACAAAGGCTGGTCGTGCTTCCTTCATGAGAACCTTGTTACAGGAACCCCTGCCTCGCTCGCTGGCTCGCTGAAGTTACTCAGTGTCCACTACCTACCGGCCTCTGAGCCCTGCCCTGAGATGGGGCGCCACCAGGAAATTAGTGCCTGAGGACGTAGTCGAATGGCGATAAATTGTTTGCGATTCCCAGCGACACGTCGCGGGATCAAACACGGCCGCATTATGTACCCTGCCCCGCTGGCTCCTCATTAATCTTGGAAGGCGCACTTATGTCCCTCGGCCTAGGAGGGTTGCAGTCAGGTCCTGGGCAGTCGGGGGCACGCTGGCTTCTGGGTTTTACAGGAAGGACAGAATCGCCTTGGTCAGTGGAGAGCAGAGGTTCCTCGCCAAGGTCAGGGGAGCTCATAAGACTACCCAGACTTGCCTCGCAAAATGCTGAAGACTCATGAAAGTCAGGGGGCAAACTCTGAGTTGAGTTCCAGGGAACGCACAAGAAAGAGCCTTGAGCCCAGGTTCTAGACACAGCCACATGGAAGACCTCTTGATCAGCAACATTTGCACTAATCTTCCTCCCTTCCTACTAATACATTAGAGAAGCCCAGAACTTCTAGTTCCAAAGCAAAATGTAAAGATTTGGTCCTATGTAGAATTGTCTGGCGCCGAGCTTCCCAAATTTGGAGCCTTCTACTTCCACCTCTATACTGTTGATTTAAGGATTTCCCTTAAATTAAGTCATTTTAGAAACTCAAATACACGTTTTTAGAAAGAAAATTTGGTATAACTATATTGCGACTGTCAATCGACAAATGGCTGTTACTACAAAAAGACATTCTAAAATATAAATAGCTAAACACCCACGCTTGCTTGGGAAGGACTGATAGGGGTTCAAGTGCATGCATGTGTCATTAGCAAGTACTGGAGGGGTTAAATAATGAATCTCAGAGGGAAAGGATGTTTTGTACTACTCAGAGTTCATTTAATTCTCTGTTCTCACACTTCCAAAAAATCACTTGTGGACCCCCAGACTTGATGTAATGTAGGGTTTTTAAATAACATTTTCGTGTAAAAACATTTTCATGTAAAAAATGAATTACTAGTATTATTTACCAGCAATTCTTGTTAAGAATTTTCAAATGACATCTCATTTAATTCTCACAATGAGCTCACAAGGGAGAGGCCATTCCGATGCCCAAGTGGGTCTACTGAACAAGGGCATCCAGCAGAAGTCACCTTTCCTGTGCTCACCAAATTGTGTGTCTTAATTTAAAGCTATGCTGGGGGGAAAAAATGTATGTTTCTTTAATTTGTGCCAGTTTCATTCAAAGTTGGAAGTGATCTAGTTCTAACCTTAACTATTGGAAAAAAAATAGTTTTAGAGAGAGATTGGCCCAGACTGGAATCCTGTCTGGTATTTTAACCATGGTCCTTCTGCCCAGATCTCCCTTCTCTCTGTCTCTAACTTATGCAAATGTTTGGAGAGGATGGGAGATATAACTGGGGTTAAGAATCCGTTATCTTTACTAGGGCCATGTTGGACAAGGGGATAAAGGTGTTCTGGATGGTTCAGCCAGACACATTTTTTTTAAACCTTTTTAGGGGGTTCAATAAATTTGGCCTGAGTTTACAGACCAGAGTTCTACCTTGCTCTGATCCTCATGGCTTGAGAGTTTCAGATTCTTGAAGACTAAGGAAGGAATTGCACAACGCAAGAGGTACAGTCAAGAGTAACCTCTGGCCACAAGTTCTTTTTGGCCTCTATCATTGGGTGGGGGATGTTTTGATTAAATTGTTTAAATTTTATTTGAAGACCTTTCTAAATATTTAGACTTCAGGTTTCTTTTGAAAACTAGAAGAGCTAGGTTTGTTAGCCCTGGTTTGCATCCTGAGCTGTGAGAATGGACAGCACTGTTGGCACACTGCTCCTCCCATGAGAAGGAAATGGCACAGAAACAGAAGGAGACCGAAAGGGCACGAAGTACAAGTCCCTTTGCTTGCCGCTTCCTCCAGGCCTCTCCTGGTTTTCTGGTGGCTGCTTTCCCCAGGTGGGGGAAGACTGAGGACAGTTTTCCAGCAGTGACAGAAATGAGTAGCTCTGTCCCTTCTTTCAGGTGGTCCAGGAATCCCAAGAGGAGGTTGGAGAGAGAATATAAAGGCTGGTGTGAAAGCAGAAATCTCCAGTTTCCTCTGAGGCCCTCCTCAACCCCAGTCCTTTCTTGATTTTCTCATTTTCCCCCCCACTATGTGGGATTAAATCAGGAATGCTCTACCACCGACATACCTCCATGGCCCTTTTTATTTTATTTATTATTTTGAGACAAAGTCTCATTCATTTGTCCAGGCTTGCTTTGAATTTGTGATCCTCCTGTGTCTGCCTCCTGAGTAACTGGGATTGTAGGTGTGTGTGGTAGCTTGGCATTCTCAATAAACCCATTAAAATCAAAGGTGTGCTTCTTTCGTCTTTTCCCTTACCCCCTGTTTCTTTTCCAACAATGAAAAAAACATTGCAGATGGTACCCACCCCAAATTCTGAGCTCAGAACCTCAGAATATGAATTTGCTAGGAAACAGGACTTTTACAGATGTAGTGTGCTGGAGTGTCATCTCATACTTTAGTCAGGGAGGATCTTAATCCAATGTGACTAGTGTCCTGGTAAGAAAAGATACATTCAGGGACACAGGGAAGACAACAACCACAGGAAGAGGGAGGCTGAGACCAGGTGGATGTGGCTATAAACCAGGGAGTGCCAAAGAGGACCACCAACACGGGAAGCTGGTGAGATGCAAGGAAGGTTGTCCTGTCTGCATCTTGGTTTCACATTACAGCTCCAGAACCCTGAGAGGATATATTTCTGTCACTTCAAGCTATCTAGTGTGTGGTAGTTTGTGACAGCAGATTACCTGGGAAGCTGATATCACAGGTGATATGGCAGGAGGTGAGAGAACTGTGGCTTTTAGGTACCACAATAGAGACAGCTGGTTTGCGAGGAGAGGACATGATAGCTGAGAGGGACTCAGCCATGCAACCCGGAGGAAGCATATCCCAAGGCTGCTCTGTTCAGTATAGTAGCCACCAGGTACATGTGGCCCTGGGGTCCTTGCAATACAGTAAGTTAAAATTTGCAGCAAGTGAAAAATATTTCAAAGGCTTATTATTTTTAGCCATCAATTGCATGTTCAGATGATCATACTTTAGATATATTGGGTTAATTAAAATATACTATTAAAGCTAGTTGGGCTGCCAGTTTAGCCCAGACAGTGAGATGCGCGCATGTGCGCACACACACACACACACACACTCATACCTATCTTCCTTTCTACTTTTTAAAATGTGGTTGTTATAAAGTTTAAAATTACATTTGTGGCTCACAATATGATATGTATTTTGCATACTATTTTTCTAAAGAAAAAGAACAGCGAGTGCAAAGGCCATCTGGGCTTCATGTGTTTGGTTTGTCTGTACTTAGACTCCATATTGGTGTTTACTTGGTGATGTCACTGAACCTGGAGAGCTAGTCTGGGAAACGTTGCTGAACTCACAAATGGTAAGTGTGTCATATGAGCTTACAAGTACATTGTCCCTTCTCAAGAGCAAAGGTAAGTGATGAAATTCTGCCCTTTGTCCTGATGCCTCCTTCCTACATTCCAAGCACATGCGTTCCCTCAGGCTGTGGATGGACAGAGAATGCAGGCCCTAGTTTTCTGCTGTGTCCGTGTCACCTTCTCCCTGAGGTTTCAGTGGAAGGACTTGGAACTAGGTTGAGCGCCACAGCCTTCTTGTCTATTGCTCACTGTTACTAAGCCCTTGGGTTATCATATGCAGGAGAGATACCCTTGCCTCGCTCCACAGGTTGCGAAGGGAACACCTAGGCCATGTTTGTTCCTTTATAAAACTAGACTTGTGCTTTTCTAAGATAGAAATCATATGAGAGCCTTCCAGGGCCAACATGTTCTGATCATGTTACACCATTTTACAATTCCTTTCTGCTTTGGATGTTACATCCCCAGATTAGTAACTCACAGCTCAAATCTTAATGGCTTCCCATCACCCAGGCTGTATGTTGGCTAGAGCTAGAACTTTGGTCTTCACTCCAAGGCCCAGACTGGTGAAGTCACTTCCCACTAAAGTGTTGCTGATGTCCTGACCAAGAGTGGGTGAGGATGGTGAGCTGCAAACTGGATCTTGACCCCAAGGCCGACATCATGTGGCCATGCTTGAAGTCACAGCACAGGAAACCTTGTTCCCTGCAGAGAGAGGTGCTCAGAGGGCCACCACTTGTGTGCTACCTGGAGTTCTTTCAGCCATTCATCTTAGTCCAGCCACTTTGAGCATGTCCATCCTAATGTCACTCATGATATCCGTCTTGCTTCTCTGTTGTATTGGCCTGAGACTTTGGCCAGCTTTCACACACATGTCACCCGCAAGGCCATGGCACCTTGGTGGCCACCGTTGGCTGAAGGAGAGGGAGCCAATGGCTCAGTGTTTCCCCTTCATTCTCTAGAATGGTGTTTCTGAGATGCTATAAATTCCTAAGAAGGTCCTGGCACATTTGGCACCTGTAGCAGTACCCAATCCAGTGACATGTCTCCATGTGGCTTCCTTCTCATTTTGTGTCATTTGCTGGGATCATTTTCCCCCCCAAATCACTTCCACATAGGCTTTTTCAGGCAGGACCCACCATTAGAAGAAAGAACAGAGACAGAGAGGGCAGTAATTTTTGATACAGTCTATCACAATTGCCCTTCTCAAAGTTGGGGAGCTTAATATAAAATCTCTATCTCTCTCCCACCCTTCCTTCCACTTCTGCCTTTCTTTTCTTCTGGAACTATGGATCAAACCCAAGCCATCATGCATGCTGGGTAAGCACTATGCCACAGAGATGTATGCCCAGTCTTAAACTTTCAATTAAAGCTTTTCTTGAAATGTCAAATCTGGCAGCTCGAAACCCACTTCTGGAAAGCCCACAAGAGCCTGGGCTTGAATAGGGCAGGAGCTCCCCTGAGATGAGACCCATATGCTCTCCACTGACCATATTTGCTGTTTGAAGGCACAGTCTTAACCCTGCCTGGCTCCATTAAACATTTGGGTTTTTAAAACTCTTATTATAGGGGCTGTTGTTAAGCAATGTAATTATGATTTTTGGAATTTTTTTTACTGTACAAGGATTCTACTTTTTTATTTTGTTTTTCTCTGTTTTATTATAACACGTCAATGAAAAAATTAGACTGGCAGTGCCATGAGGGCAAAGACAGTGAGAGTGTATCCTCACTGGTAAGCCCTGGGCCTGAGATATAATAGGTGCCTAGAAGATGTTGCAGAATAAGGGACATGGTGACTGCAGTACTCAGCCTCTACGATGGCCGGGTGATTTCAGCTCCTGCTTGCCATGTTCTTGTGGAGTTGCCTCCTTTTACATGAGGGATGACTTCATGGTTTGTTTCTACTGAAGCAAAGAGATGCCACTGCTGAGATTAGGTTATAAAAAGACTGTGGCTTCCTTCTTGATCTGCGTTGTCTGGCTATTTTTTCTTGGATGAGTAGCTGCTATGACATGAGGACTCTCAGGCAACAGAGAGAGGACCCCATGGCAAGGAACTAGGAGCTGCTACCAACCAGGTGGGTGAGCTTAGAAGGAGCCATTCTAGTCTCCCATCGGTCTTTAGGTGACTAAGTGCCTGGCTGTTCACTGATTGCAGAAGTGGTTCATGAGAACCACTGGTCCTGAGGTATCAGCTAAGTTGCCCTGAGATTCATGACTCATCAGTACGGTGAAGTGGTAAAGATTTGTTTTTCAAAGGCAGGGGCTGGCAAACTTCCATCCATGGGATTTGTAAACAAACTTGTATTGGAGTCTTGTAATGCACATGATTGTACCTAGTGCATACAGCTGCTTTTGTACTATACAGTATTTGCTGTTGAATAGTTGCAACAGAAGACTATATGACCCTCAGGCCTAAAATACTCACTAGATAGCCTTTTAAGGAAAAACTTTGCCTGTACCTGCTTTAGGTTTTGAAATAAGGGCTGCCTAGCAACGTGTAACTAACAAAAGTGGTGTCTTTCACATCTGTAACAGTGAGCTCCCTAGGCTTGCATGTCTTGGGGTAGGGCTGCTCATTTCATTTTTGTCCTATTTATTTATTACATTTTGGTACCATGGATCGAACTCATGACTGCGTGCTTACCAGGCAGATGCTTATGGCACTGACGTAAATCCCTGGCCCCAGTTTAGTTCACTTTACTGTGTATTAACTGGGTACCTACTAGGTACTGGACATACCTTTGATAGTATTCAGAAGCTGCATTTTTCCTTTATGTTATTCTCTCCAACATTTTCTCAGTCTGTTGCATTTTATAGACTTGCCAAATATTGGTGGATTTATATGAGATTCAGAGCTTGGAATTAGCAAGACCCTCTTAGGAAAACAATGGAGAACTCTGTATCACGGAAGCTGAGCTAGGAGCAGGAAGACATTTACCTCCTGTGTTCATGTAGTGTCAAGTTGATTGGGTCTTGCTGTCCCACCTTCCTGTCCCAGAACCCCAAATGCCCTAACGTGCTTCCTGTACTCAGCATCCAAACGAGTTAAGTGTGGCACACCAAAGCCAGCTAACTTCTGAGCTCTACTCTGATAGTTCCTGGGCTGTGCCACTGATTCAGTATTTGCATGACAACTGGGAAAAGCCCCTCAGTACTTAGGCTTGGCAAGTGAGTGAAGAAGGAAAATGATTGCTTTCCAGAAGAAATGATCAGTGATGCTGGATATTAACTGTATACTGGGGCCGGGCAAGGGAAGAGGATGCAACAGGAATCTGACTCGAGTCCCCGGCAGTCTGATTGTATAAGTATGGCTAACCCTAACTCAGCGGCAGGACCCGCAGCTAGACTTTCTGTTGCCTCAGTTTACTCCTCTGTGACAACAGTTCCTGCCTCATAGCATTTTAGTGGGGATGAGCCAACGGGTAAAGTGTTTAGAATAATGCCTTGTTCCTTATAAGGGCTTGCAAATGTTAGAAAAGATAACCCTAGTTTAGCAACCAAAAGAATCTGCTTAGAGGAGATCATGATAATGGCAGGACACACATTCAGTATGTAGACTGAACAGCCCCTGGGCTCCAGGCTCTAGGGCAAGCCCTGTCTGTACAGGTCAGGCTGGCTTTGTGGGTGCACAGAGCCTCTTGCTTGAAAGTGTTCCACATTTAGGTTAATGCTCTGAGATCACCATCTCAAAATTTTGAAATAGGTGTTGGAAGGAACTCCATGTTTTCTCTTTGCACTGGCCCCAGCAGATGATGTAATTGGCCCTGCACATGTCAGTGGATACTAAAAAGACCAACTCCTCAAGAGCTCATGTGCTGTTAGGTGGCAGGGGGCCCCACCATCATTACATCGCAGAGCGATGGACACACTGGTGGAGCACAGGGATTTGGTACATGCTGCTTG